GCCCAGCTCCCCATTGCCTAATTGGAGGAAAGACCTGGGCTCTGGTGGTTGCTTGGGCCTTGGTCTGAGGAATGTGGCTGGCAGCTAATAGGGGTCATCTGCTACAATGTTCTTGGCCAAGCCCCTTTCTCTTGGTGGACCTCAGTTGCCCTATATATAAATTATTTCCAAAGTCTGCTCCTACCCTGCTCAAATTAAGAACTATGAGTAAATGACCCTTAAGAAGTGAGTTGTTTCATGTATTTATTGGCTATTAATTAAAAACCTGCTGTATACCTGCTGATATATGAGACCACAGCTTGGTTCATGTACATGGGAACCAGAAGCTACAGGCTCCACACATAAGCCCATGAGCAGGAAGCCATGCCCAGAGCAGCAGTGGCTGAGATGTGGGGTCACCAGATCAGGAGCTCAGAGCCAAGGAAAGTCAGGAACCTGGGTACTGCTCACCTCTGGGGCCCCACTGTGAGAAGCTGACTTTGCATCCCAGGGACTGAGGCAAAGGACTGAGGTCAAGGCAGGCACCTCTCTCTCCCTGAGGGTCCTCACCACACATAGCAACCCTAATGAGGTAGGGATGGTTGGTCCTATTTTTAGACCAGGAAATTGAGCCAAAGTACTATAACGTCACCCAGAAATTTTAGAATAAGAAGGAAAAAAACTCACCCATAATCCTACCACTGCAGCTATTTTTATTCTTCTCTGTCCTCTTCCATGCCCGACTATAAATCTTTAAAATTATAAACAGAACACAGATACAATTTTGTATATGTTTTCACATAGCATCACGAGCATGCTGCATGCTTTTTCTCAGTTAAGACATTTAATTATATCACAGGCTGGGATGTGGGTCAGTGGTAGAGCAAGTGTGGATGTGCACCAGGCCATGGATTCAACCCCCAACCACAAAAAAACAGCTTTTAAAAATCTATATCATAGGGCTGGGGATTTAGCTCACCTGCCTTGCAAGCACAAGGTCCTGAGTTCAATCCCCGGTACCAAACAAAAACAAAAAAACTATATCCTATAAATTAAAAAGTCAGAGAGCCCTTCAAGACTAACAATAAACAAGAGATGTCTTTGTACCCATGTCAGTCCACAATTTTCATTCTTATAAATAAGCTTTTCTGGAGGACTTTACCTTCATGGTGCTAAATTATAGTTCCATATTGTTATTTCTCTTGGGTTGGTTTTTTTTTTTTTAGATATGAGAGGGGTTTGTTTGCTTTTTCTTTTCTTTCTTGTTTTTAAATTTTTGTTATGAGACAGGGTCTCAAGTCTCTAAATTGGCCAGGTTGGCCTTGAATTCGTGATCCTCCTGCCTCAGCCTCCCAGAGTGCTGGGGTTATAGGCCCAGCTACCACTTCCGGCTCAGAAAGGACTCTTCTGGCTTGTGCGGTGTAGCAAAGGCCTGGCTACAGCCCTCTGGGAGCCACTTGGGTGAGTGCTGGAGGATCGGTGCTGAGTCATTGCTGTGTTACTGAACTCACAGTGAGGGTAGAGGTGACTTCTCTCCCTCACCTCCTGCCACAGCAGCTCAGCCCTTCCGCTCACATCCGGCTGCTGCCTGACTTTCGTAGTGGAGGCCCCACTGCTCTCCTTAGGCACAGGGGGCTATGCATGCCCTTGTTTGCTGTACCGTGTCTCTGGCTGGGCCAGAGCTGCATTTTCCAGGGTGAGGATGAACTGTGAGATGAAGAGGGAAGCTGGGAATAGGACCGTGCTGAAGGAACTGCATGTACGGCCTGGAGGCCTTGGAGCTGACCCAGTATAGACCTCTTTGATAGATGGAAAAACTGAGGGAAGGAAAAGGCAGAAACAGCGTGGCAGAGGGCATAGTGGAGAAAAGCTGCTCGCATCATGGTGGCCGGGAAGCTGAGAGAGGGAGGAGGAGCCAGATGAGAACACAGCCTCAGTGACCACCTCCAGCCAGGCCCCACCTGCTCACAGCGCTCAGCTCTGAACTCGTCAACGACAAACCCGCCGAGGAGGGCGGTGCCCCTGCTTCAGTCCCTTCCCCACGCATGAGACTTCGGGGGGACGTTTTAGATCTGAATCAACGCCACATCTTAGCAAGGGAACTTGAGGCCCAGAGTGGGGCAGGGCTTTATCTAGTCACAGAGCAGAGGTCTGGATTGGCTCAGCCAACCCTGTTTCCATGTTTCCACTGCTCTGATGAGTAATTAGAGAAATTAAACAAACAAGCTTTAATTGCCTGTCAGTGACAGACGCCAGGGCAGCCATAAACCTGGCTGGATCCAGAGCTCCTGCTCAGGCTGGGGGCCTGGGGAGTCCGAGCTGGCTGGGGAGCTGGGCCTCCCTCAGCCCCCATGCCTGCCAGCAGCCAAGCCACTCCTCACCCACCAAGCAGGGTGCCCGATGCCAGAGCAGACTGGGCACAGGCCCAGGACACCTCCAGAACAGGTCCCATGAGAGCCTGAGGCCCCTCCCGGACTTGGAATGTGTGGTTTGCTCACTGCCCCAGACAGGGCCGGGACTCTAACTTACAAGGCCCCCATGTTCGCTGCAGCCTGATCCTACCCTTCTTGTTGGCCCCCAGGAGTGGGGGAGCCAAGCCTCAAGCTGCAAAGACCCTTTGTCACCATCTTCCCAGGATGCCCAGAGGACATGGTCTTGGGACAGGGAGAGGAAGTTCAAGGACCTCTGCTCCCTGAGGGGAGGCCCCCTGTCCACACTGCCATACACTTACCCCACCAGTAGTCACACACAGCTGCAAGCAGCCTCTTGACTCCCCAGGCTCCAGGGGGATGCAGGTGGTGGCTGGAGTGGAGGCAGTAGGGTGGGTGGATGGAGGGATGAATGACTCCATAGGGTGGGTGGTGCGTTAATCAGCTTTCTGTTGCTGGACCGCATAACCACAACTTAAAAGAGGACAGATTTACTTTGGCTCCTGGTTTCAGAGGTTTCAGTTCATGGTTAGCTCATTCCAAGGCAGAAACATCTCTCAAGCGAACCAAGTTGCCAACCAAGATTAACCATAAGGGGTGGATAAAGAAAGGGGGTGGGGAGTAGGAGCATGGGTCAGTGGACAACGGGACCCTGCTTGCTTTGGTCTCTGCCCTTCCCTTAGAGGGTGTCTCTGTCCTCCTAGGAATCAGGCCCCCAGGGACCGACCCGTGTGGCAGGGCTTTGTTGATGGGCCCTATGGAACTGGTCTCTTGGGGACCCAGCTGTTTTGTCAGAAGACTCCCCAGGTGTCAGCGTCTGTGGGTTTCTCCTCACTGGCAGGACCTGGATCTCTGCCAGCTGCAGGAGAGCACATGGCTCCCACCTCCCCACCCTCCCAGGTTTTCTGAGACTAGGGCTGGGCCCCCACTGTTCGCATCTTCCTGTGTGTTATTTGCATCACTGTCTGCTATCTGCTGGGGGCCTCCCTGTGGCCTTTCTCTTGGCTCTGTGGGGTTTACCTTTCACTCTCTTCGCCTCCCATGCCTGAGAAACACCAGAGGGAAACATGTCCTCAGACCCCCATGTCACTGCCGGCCACCTAACTTCAACTGCTGGTCTTTCGCTAAGTCCTGCCCGGCCCCAGCATCAGACCACTGTGTACATTCTTGGAGTGGTTTGCGCACTGAGTGTCTCGGCTCAGTCTTTAATCTGTTTTCTGCATCGGGGCTGCTGACAAGCTTTTATGGAGGGGGAAAGAGAACTCTGTTACTAAGAAATGCTATAAACCACTAATTTGGAGCAGCCCCGGGTGCGGGGGCAGGAGGTAGGGGCCTGCCAGCCCACGGATGCCCCCGTAACCAGAAGCGCGGGGAGCAGAAGACGGGCATTGTCATCCCTCTTGGCCCGTGGTGGGCAGCCCAGATGTCTATTCTCACACTCATTCCAGGTCCCCTCACGGCCCCTCCACCTGTCCTGGAGGGATCACCGTGTCCCAACAAGGGTCAGCAGGGCGGTCTGCATTCAGTGACTGACAGAGAGGACAAACCCAAGGACCCATGAACAGGAAGGTGCTGGCAAGAGCTCAGCAGCCGGAATCCGAAGTCACCTCAGGCCACGGGGAGCCACCGAGTCACCCACATTCCTCTGGGTGTCTGGAAGTCTGTTTAGCCAGAACAGGGGTTCTGGGGTGGGGAGGTTGGGCTCTGAGCTGAGCCGGGAAAGAGGAATGGATGAGTCCCTCGATGTCCAGGGCAGTAAAAGCTCTTTCCAGAAGCATCTATGTCCTCACAGAAGTATAGACAAGTTACAACCTGAGAAGACCGGGCCCAGGGCTCAAAGAGACTCTGCTCTGGAGCGGTGTCCAGGCCCAGTCCCTCCACACGCTCCTCACCCAGGCCACACAGCTGCCGGGGCGAGCTGTTCAGAGTGCAAATGTGACTTCGCTTTCACTTGTCTGGACCCTCCAGCACTGCCGAGCCCCCCTCCATGCCCAGGCTGCCTCTGCAGCCCCAGTGACCCCTGGACTGCTGGCTGCAGACTCTGCCCTCTTTCCGTGCCCCTTCAGGCCTCAGCATGCCTTCTGTGCAGCTCTCCAGCTTCCCTCAGAAGCCGCCTCCTCCAGGACTTCCTCCCTGACTACCCCCGCTCCATGCCATCCCCATGGCCTTCGGGGACAGCCCTTGTGACCTGTGCTTTCTGCTCTGCTCCTTCCCACACGTGGTTCTCAGAACCAGCAATCTTGTCTCGCTTACCCATCATTCTTCCGTTCTTAGATATTTTGTGAGTCCTCACGTTGTGCTAGGTGCTGAGACTCACGGGTGGACAGAAGAGACACAGACTCCACCTCATGCCTGGCACGGAGTCGACACTTTGCTGAACAGACAGACAGCAGTGTGCTCAGAACGGAGACTCAGAGACCCAGCAGGCTGCGTGGAGGAGGGGCCTTGAGGATAAGGCCCTGGAGAATAGATAGGAGTTTTCAAGGCAGAGTCACTGTGACTCTCCTGCCCGATGGTCCAGAGGCTGCACCCTGCCCAGCTGCCCTCACCCCAGGCTCCACACTGGCCTCACCTGGCCCCCTTCTCTTTCAGAATGCATGAACTGCTCCCGGCTCATGGACATGAGCGAGCGGCTGACCACGCTGGAGGCCAAGGTCAGCGAGGCTGGGAGCTGGGCGGGGAGCTGCTGGGTTCGGGGGTGCAGGGACATTGGCCACCTGCTGGGAGACGGTACCAAGCCTATGTCTCTCCTGTCCCATGGCCAGTCCCAATCCGACCACCTACCCAGCTGCTCCAGTGGCAAGAGAAAGCGTTGGGTGGAGTCACAGGTGCCTGCAGGCCTGCAGGGCCAAGGGAGCAGCTGAGGGGGCCTGCGGCAGGCAGGCCTGGGTGGGCACGGCTGGGAAGGAACTGGGGCAGGGCCTGGGTCCCTGGGCAGAGCAGCCCCTGGAAACGAGATGAGTATCAGGGAGAGCAGGGGAGAGCTGGACATTCACGTTGCCCAACAGCTCGTGTACACACACACAGTGATGTGTGCACACGAACCAACATGCTCAGGTGTGTATGCACACACACACACACACAGAGCCCTGGACAACCGTGCATTGCCCTCCGGCCCTGTCTTCTTCCCCAAGCCTGCACGTGAGGGTGCGTGGGTCTGAGCTGCCGCCTCCTCCTCTGCAGACGGCCCCAGCATAGTGCCATCCGGGACCTCGGAGGACATGGGACCCAGCTGGGGAGATGGCTGAGGGTTGAGCAGTGGTGAGGGTCAGTGCTGTCATCTGACAGGGACACGGGTGTAGGGGGACACTGTGCACAGCCTCCTGTGGCCTCCAGTCCCCTGCAGATGTCGGGACAGTCAGGTGGGGTGCAGGGAAGATAGGGGTTGGGTGGGGATTGGGAAGGCAGCTTGAGTCTGGGGGGTGCAGAGGCAGCTGACTCTGCAGTTCAGCCCACCTTTCCACAGCCACCTGATTCCCAGGACAGGGCTGTGAGGCTCCTCTGACCTCCTGAATCTCAGCGGGGTCACTTTCCAGCTGCCTGTCTGCCTATTCAACACCTTCCTGTGCCCTGGAGAGACAGGGTCCCTGGGGGCCTTGTGGGCCAGGTCAGAGGCCCCAGAGGTCAGGAGAGGGAGGGGATGCAGCAGCCCCAGGGGTGGTGCCCAGGTCTCGAGAGCCTGCAGGAGCTGGGGTCAGAATTCAGGGGTCAGGGGCCAGGTGGGTGAGGGCAGAGCCAGGCAGGCAGATCCCATCCGGCAGGGAGAGAGCAGTCAGGCAGCAGCTGAGAGATCTGGAGACTGAGGCTTCTGCTGCCTCCAACAAGAAACCAGTTTGGGTGCATCCAGAAGAATTTAAGTGATGGAAACCCCACCAGTGGTAGCTTATTCCACGAGCATGCTTGTTTGATTAACAAGAAGCATGCGAGTAGGTGGCCTCAGGACTGGTGCTCAGTGGCTCACGAACCCAGGCTCTTTACAGCCATCCTTTCCACCTCTTCAATGAATTGGCTTTTGTCCTCACGTTTGGTACCTCATGGTTATAAAATGGATGCTGCAGCTCAAGGAATCACATCTTCACACTGTGTTCAGTGAGCAAAGGCAGGAAGTGGAGGGCGAGTCAAAACACCCCAGCAGAATCATTTGGTCTCCTGGGCCAGTGCTTTATCTATATGACTACCTCTGAGTTGCAAGGGAACTGGGGAATTGGGTACCTCAACCAAGACTCCTGCTGTCCTCTTGTCCCAGGATGGGTTGGTGGGCAGAGGCCACAGGGTACCAGGATGTTTCCTGCTTTCCCCTCTCCCCACCCACCTCAGTTTATGGTGACTTCATGGATCACAGCACTGGGTGGGATGGAAGGGACTTCCCTGTGTGAATGTCACAGACATCTCAGAGTTGGCTTGGGCTTGTGCAGGAGGGTGGGTGGTGGCCTGGACCGCGCCCAGATGCAGCGATGTTACCAGGGCTCACCCCAATCCTTGGGCCCAATCCCAGTGCCCTTTCTCCTCCTGCACCAGAGCCACTAAGCACCGGGGTGGGGATCAAGTCCCTCCTTCCTGGAGGGGGTTCTGGGGGTCCCAGGCCAAGTGCCCTGAGCTGCTGTTCTGCTCAGTGACTCCATGAGGCTCCGCTAAACCATGGGTGGGGCGGCCTGGTTGGGTGATGATGGGCCTCGCAGTCGCTGGGTGAGCCTGGACAAGTCACTCGCAGTCGCCGCCCTGTCTCCACCCCAGGTGGGATGCGGGCCTGTGACCTCTGTCTGCTGGGTCCCCTAAGGGCCACAGGGAGGGACAGGGAGTGGCCGGGGAGGTGGTGGTAGAGGACATTGCGAGGTGGCTCAGCCTGTGCCTAAGCACCCCGGAAACTCCGCCCAGCCCCTGCTTGAGCTCTGTGACCGCGGCTGTTTGTCCCTGTGGAAACCCCAGCCGAAGCAGCTGGAGTACCCGGTCTGGCACCAGGGCTGCTGTGCCCACGTCTGCCTGCGTCCATTCCGGGCTCGCAGCGCCCCCTTCCGGAGTCATCGGGGGTAGCAGGGATTTGAGGCCCAGCTGCAGGAGAAATTTAAATGAAGAGAAAACTTAAATAAACGGGAGTCTGCAGCCTAGGAGGGTTGTGACTCCGGCCTCCCTCCAGGCGAAGGACCGGCTGGCTGCAGCCACCTTGCCTTTTCCTGGAGAGTCCTGGGAACCGTGTACGCAGATAGGCCCATCTACACTTTCCCTCTCCTTCCTTCCTATTTGCCTGCTCACCTCCCTTCCCTACTGGCTTCTTTCCTGCCTTCTTCCCTTCCTTTCTTTATTTTCTCCCCTTTTTTTCTCTCCCTCCCTCCCTCCATCCCTTCATCCATCCATCCATTTTCTCATCCATCCACCCACAAATCTTTCTTAACCGAGGAAGGAGCTTGTGCCCTGAGCCAGGCAGAGAGGGGACCCCCCGACGCCTCCCTTAGGGAGCTGCCTGTGGAGGTACAGCAGGGCTGTTGCTCAGTCTCAGTCATGGTGAGGGGTACAGAAGGTGCTACCAGGGGTGAGGGCTCTCCTGGTGGGGACGGGGAGGGATAGCGTCCATGCAGGGAGTACTGTGCTCTGCGGCCACAGAGGGGAAGTGGCAGGTTTGTGGGGCGCACTTCCCTGCATTTGAGGTCCTCACTGCAGCCAGGGCCTCACCCTCTGCCCTCCTCCGGCCAGGTCCACCTGTTAGAAGCAGCCGAGCAACCCTCAGGCCCTGACAACGACCTGCCAGCACCCCAGAGCACACCGCCACCTTGGAACGAGGACTTCCTCCCTGATGCCATCCCCCTGGCCCATCCAGGACCCCGGAGGAGGAGGCCCACAGGGCCGGCTGGTGAGCCATGCAGGGAAGGGTGTGGTGTGGCCTCCCGGGGCCTCACGAAGGGCTCTGCACTAGGCCTAATGTTTCAAAATTGGGACGTTCGTATAACAATGAGGATTTCTAACTTCTCTTTAAAAGATCTGGCATCGGGGCTGGCTGGAAAGGAGTGGCTGTCACTGTGAGGTGTAATCATTTTTTAAAAAATGAATTACAGAAATGGACACATTACAGTGAATCCCCTCCTGGCTTCGAACACATTCATCCCACCCTTCTGCCACCTTTCTGAAGCAGCTCTGCAAGTCCTCTTTCATGAGTGTCTTCAGTGGTGCTGTCACGGCTGCATCAGTCTCCTGAATCAATTCGAAATGTTCCCCTTTCATGGTCATTTTGACTTTGGAGAAGAGACAGAAATCACACAGTGCTAGACCTGGTGAACAGGGTGGATGAGGATGCAGCGTCATGTTTTTACGAGTCTGCCTTTCTGTTGGACGGTGCTTGGCAGAGCATTCATCATGTTTTTAATCACACCTCATAAAGAGCCTCACAGAAGAGGACTTCCAGAACTGCTTCGGCAAGGGGCAACGGCAGTGGCATGAGTGTGTTTGAAGCGAGAGGGAGGATTTTGAGGAGGATTCACGGCATGTGTCCTTTAATGAACTTTTAAATGTAAACCTTCACTGTATGTACAGATTGCAGTGGGCACTGCAGATCTGGTTTCTGAAGCTCAGCCGTCTGCTGCAGTCCCCACCGCTCTTTACTGTGTGACAGTCCCATCCTCAGCTCTGCCCTGCCCCCTGGCGGCTGTCCTGGGCCCCCCAGCCCACCACTCTTACTCAGTTCCATCTGGAAGTAGCCCCTGCCATCCACCCCAGGACTCTGAGCTTCCAGACATACACCCCTGAGCCCCATTTCTGGGCCACCCTCACTGAACTCTCAACCAGAGTCAGAAGACATCTGGCTCCTTGTCTTCTCGGGGTATTTTAAAGGCAAGAGTGAAAATGTTCTCTGTAAACCAGGTGTGGTGGTGCCATCCCATAATTCCAACACTCTGAGAGGCTGAGACAGGAGGATTGCAAATTCAAGCCCAGCCTGGATAACTTAGTGACTTAGCAAGATCCTGTCTCAAATTTAAAACATAATAAAAAGGGCTGGGGATGTAGTTTAGTGCAAAGGCCCTGGGTCCAATCCCCATATTGGCGGGGGGAGCCAAAAACATCTGAAAATTTTATTCTGGTCTGGGCTCTGTCCCTGGGTGCTGCAGGGGACAATGTGGCTGAGAGAAGGTAGGTGACCCCGCTGTGGTCACCAGTGAGCTGGAGGCATCTTACCCTGATGATTCCCTGCCCCACTGGAGCCTCTTGGGGGAACACACACACATACAACCTGTTCAGCTCTGAGCACGCACAACTGTCCCCCCTTCCACTGTCCTGTCTGTGTGTAGGAGTTTGTCCCCAGGTTCAGGACAGGGGCCAGAGCAGGAGGACAGATCCACAGCTAATCAGGGTAGTGACTTCAGGAGCCAGTTCCAGGGCCAAGGGCAGAGAAACATGTGTCTGAAGGCTGTGGTGGGAGAAATGGAGCTCAGGACTGCTATGGGGAGGATGGGGACATCTCCCTCTGGCTCCCCGGTCAAACCCTCAAGCCTCGGTCCTCAAGATCTCACCCTAGAGAGCAGAATAACCACTTCTTCCCAGCTTTCTTCAGGGCCTGAGGAGGTGGGAGGCTAGGATGGCAGCTGGGCCTGCTGGCCAGACCTTTCTTACCGAGGAACATGCAGTTCCACAGATGGCCACCAGATGGAAGGCGCACCCCACAAATGGTGCCTCCAGGACATCCTGGCTGGCCCTGAGTTCCCTGAAGCCAACCGCGCCCCCCAGCAGATCCCTTCCTTCCAGACCCCCAAGTCACATGCAGCCTGAGCAGGTCCCTCCACCTCCTCAGAAGACCCAGAGAGAGAAGGGGCTGTCCCCGGCCTAGAGAGGGATCTCCCATTTCTTATCTCCTGTGTTCCCAGCTGGGTAGTTGCTTCTGAGAGGCACCTGGCACATGCCCAGAACATGACCCTGAGCAGGGAACAGTAGAACATGAGGGGGTGAGAAAACCTGAACTTCATCCTGGCTCCGTGACCTTGAGCAAAGGGTCAAGTCTCTCTGAGCCTCAGTTCCCCACCTGGAACACAGTCCTTGGGATCGTAGACAGGAATAGGGTAATGGAGCCCTGTCCACCATAGTGACCAACACACCTGAGTCATGGTGAAGCTGGGGCTATTGGAGGAGGTCTCGGGTGGGCCGGGTGTCTGGGGACAGGGACAGGCCTGGAGCACAGGGGCACCTGGGCCCACGGTGTCCTCAGCCTCATCCCTCTGTCTCCCCAGGGCCCCCCGGGCAGACTGGACCACCAGGACCTGCAGGGCCACCAGGCTCCAAAGGGGACCGGGGCCAGATGGGAGAGAAGGGCCCAGTGGGGCCTCCGGGTAAGGACCCCCAGCCCGATGCTGTCCCTGGAGGAGAGGGCCCCGATCTTGCTGGGGCTCCCAGCTCCTTCCGTCTCCCCCTCCGAGGTGCACTGTCTCCTCTTCTGTGTGGCTCCTCTTTCAGTGACTCTTCTTCTCCCTGTCACAGGGCTCCTGGGGCCACCAGGGCCCCGTGGGCTTCCTGGAGAGATGGGGCGCCCCGGCCCCCCAGGACCCCCCGGCCCAGCAGGCAGCCCAGGCCTCTCACGAAACGACCCCCAAGGCGTCCTCTACTCCCTGCAGCCACCCACGGACAAGGACAGTGAGTGTCACACAGGGTCCGGGCAGGCTGAGCTACCATCTCGGAGGACCAGCCTTCCAGAGGGACCTGGGGAAGTGGGGGTCCCACCAGTCAGGGGTCACCTTGGGAGCAGGCTTTGGCTCCAGGGGGTGGGGCTGCCAGGACCAGTGCTGCTCCTAACTGCTCCTAGCCCAGGGCAGTTGTCCCTACCTCGGGGCTCAACTCCCAGCCCCTGAGTCCCTCCCCTGGTCCCCAGGTAGCTCTGCTTCCTGGCCTGGCCCACTTTTCCCCCCTGGCAAGGCTTCCCTGACCCTGAATCCCTGTTCAGTTGTCCCCTATAGGCCCCCTCCCTATAGGTTGCTTGACAAGTAGTTTACTGAGCACCTATTATGTGTTGGGCACAGCCATGAACAAAACAGACAAACTCGGGCCCTCAGGGGCCACATCCTGCCCAAGGGGACTCAAAACATATTCAGAAACATCCATTTCCACATGGGGTTAGGGAGTGGGGTATGGGGACTCTGGGTCTAGGACAGTGAGGCCATGGCCAGCCAGGCAGAGGGTGCCTGCTGGCACCAGGAAGAGGGGTTTTTAGCTGAGAGCCATAGGCCACCGGGGAGGGTTCTAAGAGGAGGGATGAATGAACTTGACTTGGGGGGGATGGGTGGCCTCCCAGGCACTGTTACATCTGGCACCTTTTGTCACCCAAGTTCCATCTTTGCTTGGGCTCCTCCAGGCAGCACCGCCCTGATCTGGCCTGTGCCTGGACCCCATGCCCTCTCCCAGCCTCAGTTTCCTTTTCTGCAGAGGCAAGATTGCCATGTCCTTGTAGCGCCCAGCCGAAGCTTGTACCAGGAGGAGGGCTTGGCCCAGCACGGTGGCTCACAAGTGCCTTCTGTGGGTGCAGAGGCAGGGCTGGGGAGGGGTCAGACTAGGCTTCCTCACTGGCAGTGGGCATAGGGATGCCCTTGGGCAGGGACTGAATAGGCAGTGCTGTGAACCTGTGGTGGCCTCAAGAGTCAGTAGCTGCACCCTGAGCCCGGAGGTGCCAGTCAGGGCCCCTCTCTGACCCCCAGCCCAGGCACCGGCTCTGTTCAGCCTCTCTTCCCGCAGATGGGGACTCCCAGCTGGGACCTGCCGTTGTGGACACGGTGCTCGCAGGTGTCCCCGGGCCTCGGGGCCCGCCTGGCCCACCCGGTGAGTGGATGACAAACCCCTCTCCTTTTCTCCTGGGCCTGGCCTGAGCTAACAGCCTGGGTCACACCAGCCCCCATGTGGCCTGCGCAGGATCTGTGTCCACAGGGGCAGCCTCCTGTGGGGCAGGACAGTGAGGGACTCGGGTGAGCAGCGGAAAAGGGAGCCCTGGGGAAGGGAGACTTGGGACTCGGTGTGGGGGCCCTGGCTCTAGGCCTGACCCTCTCTGGGCGAGGGGTGGGGCAGGGGTGGGCAGCCACCCACTCCCTGTGTGCCTGGCTGCACACAGGGCGCATCCCAGCAGGACCTCCAGTGCCCGGATTGATCCCCTGCTCATATACTTGATCCCGTGTACAATCAACAGACATTTATTGCACCCTTACTGTGTGCTAGGCAGGGCCCGTGTCCCCACAAGTTCAGGCTGGAGAGAGGTGTTGGCTCTGTAACTAGACTGGGTCTGATCTTCGCCCCTGCCCAACATCCTCTGTGAGCCTGCAGCTCCCAGCCATGTTGGTGCTTCCCAGCAGGCCTGTGCAGGCCGTGGGGACAGGGAGCTTTGTGACCCCAGAATGCCTGAAGTCGCTCTGGACCCCTCTCCCCAGGCAGGCACACGAGACCAGCCCGACCCCCAGACATCCTTGAGGGTGGGGGGCAGGCGTGGGCCCACAGGTCACAGGAGATTAGTCTAGAGGAGCAGGTTTCCTGGAGGAGGTGACCCTCTAGCGAGGGGTCTGCTGGGAGAGTGGAGGGATAGGAAGCTCTGGAGGACAGGAATGGCACTGGAAAAGGCACAGAAGCAGAGGGATCTGCAGGAGGGTGTCTGGGGGCGGGTGGAGAAGGTGTGGACCTCAGGAGGCTGGGAGCCATCTGTCTGGGCACCCGGGGTGGCAGCAGGAGGGTGAGGGTGGGCCTCAAGGGACCGGTGCAGGGTCCTGCAGTGAGCACGTGGGGAGACTTTGCTGGAGCACCTGCCCCACTCCCCGCCAGACCCCTGGGTCCTGGAACAGGGGAGCCAGGAGAAAGAGGCCTGGGGAGCAGGAGCGGGGGAGGGCATGGGACAAAAAGAAGGCACAGGGGCATGGGGGTGCATAGAAAAGCAGAGGGGGACACTGGGGAGGGGACGGGGCAGCAGACGGGGCAGGGCTGGGGACAGGTGTGGCTTCCTGCTATCAGCAGTCCCTCAACAAACCTCTACTCCCTGCCACAGGGCGCGGGTGCTGGGTGGGGAGGCTGGGAATGTCCCCTCTGGAACTGATGGGGACGGTGGGCTTCGCTGGCCCAGGTGACCATTGGTGACTCTGCCCGTAGGTCCCCCAGGACCACACGGTCCCCCAGGACCTCCAGGAGTCCCTGGATCCCAGGTAAGGGTCTGGCCACTTCTTGTGTGGTGCAGGGGTGAGCTGGGGAATCGCTGTGTCCTAGGAGGGGGAAGCCAGACCACTACCAGCAAGAGGCACTCAGGAAAGCAGCCCATCCAGCCAGCCAGGCACCCAGGGACACAGGAGCCTTGTTCTGTTGGCAGCTGTGACCCTTTGCCCCCTTCCTGAGAATCACCCATGGGGAGGGGTCAACCGGAGCCAGGATGAGTGGTCCCAAACCCAGGTTGGCTCTGTTTCTCTAGCCATTACTTCAGATTGAGGAAGAGCAAGTGCAAAGGTCCTGAGGCAGGGAGCAGGGGGAAAGAGAAGATTGGGCAGGGACAAAAGAACCCTTCTAGGATTCTAGGTTAGGACATGCCCAGGGATTGTTTTCCTGCTTCTGGGACCCACCTCTAGACAGCCTATGTATACACGAGTGTGGCACCCTCATGACCCAGCCTTCAGTACATGGCCTTCGGGCACATCTCAGATCCAAACCTACGAGACATCTTGAAAAGTGGACTTGGCAGCCTGGCCAATGACATCACTTTGGGGGAGGCAGGGAAAGTGGAGGTGATGCTGGGCGTCTGCCTGGGGCAGCCGGGAAGCCCACAGGGCCAGTTCCAGGTGGCTGGAGTGGGGGCTGGAGATGTCAGCTGCACACATAGGCCTGTCACATGCGTGACCTTCACCACGGCCTCTGCTGTCATTGCTCACTGAACCCCAGGCCAGCACCCCCTTTTGTGTGTGACAGCACTGGGCCTTGCCCAGCCATGCAGGTGGCAGGGCCAGAAGCTGCGGCTGGGCCCGAGGTCACCGGCCAAATGCAGATTGGCTCCAGGGCCTGGCGGTCACTGGGTCTGACCCTCCCTTCGCCTCTGCTTTCCTCCCTCCCTGTGTCTCTCTGTCTGACACTGTGCCTGGGAACTCAGGGCCTTCATACTGAGCTTCATCCCCAGCCCTTGTTTTTAAATGTTTTATTGTGAGATAGTCTCTTGCTAAGTTCTGACTTCCCCAGGCTGGCCTCTTAACTTTCTATGCTCGGGCCTCAGCCTCCCTGAGTGCTGGGATCACAGGTGTGCGCCACCACATCCGGCTGTGGGTCCCAGTTGAGAGTCAGGGCCGGAGTCCCTGGGGCAACAACGTAAACCTGAGCCCAAGCCTACGCTGCCCCGGAAGCTACCCAGGCCTCTCCCTGTGGGAGGCCCTGCTCTTGTCCCCTCGGAGCAGGCATCCCGAGGGCCCAGCACCGTCCCAGGCCCTGCCTGTCCCTAGGTCCTCCTGCGGGGGTGGGGAGATGCCCCACGTCCACCAGGGCTCTGACTGTGTGACTTGCTTCCTAGAGCGAGCCTGGCGTGATCTCAGAAGAAGGGGACAAAGCCACCACCGCAGAGGTGACTTTACCTGTCATTTACCTCCCTGAGTGCCATAGCAGGCTGGAGACACCCACTGACCTGCACTGGCCCTTCCGCCAGCCCAGTGTGATGACACCCAGAGGGTGCCACAGTGACGCCCGGGCCATGTGATGCTGGGGTGACCGGTCCTGGGGTGGAGCCGAGGACCCAGTGGGAAATCACCGTCCTGAAGGAGAGGACAGATGGGGGCCAAGGCAGCTTTGGACTGGGACCCCAAAGAGCAAGGCTGGAGAAAGCAGGGACCGGGACTTCTGTGCTGGGGCAGGAGGAGCAGGGAAGGCGGGGAGAGGTGCTGAGTCCCGGGCCACTTGCTAGGGAAGTGAGAGGTCGCCCGTGACCCCTCCCTCACCCCATTCCATAAGAACAGCTTGGGCTCAGAGACAGGAGGCCGAGCTGGGCACCTGACAGAGGGCCCCGGAGCTCCCTGCTCCCTGACCCTGATCCCTTCCCAGGCTGGGGACATGGACGTCGCTTGTCTCTTCACCACCGCCTTCCTTTGCAGAGAGGCCTTGACAGCTGTCTTCTCAGTACGAGGGTGCCCTGTCTCAGCTCCGTCACGTGTCCCTGCACACACGGTTCTCGGCCCGTGCATGCAGTGGGTTCAGGAAATGTGGGTGGCACCCGCCTCCTGCCAGCGCTTCCAGAAGCCAGGGTGTGCCTGGTCCTCCCGCCTGCTCAGTAGCTCCATGCGGCCACTGCTCTCGAGTGGGGGTGTCCAGGCAGGAAGCGGGGCCCTGTGCTGGGTGCCCTGGCCCGTGAGGGAATTTTCTAGAAGTGGTGCACATGAGGAGGCAGCCAGGCAGCCCGGTAGGACAAGAAAGGCCCAGCTGGAGGCTGACAGGTCTGGACTTGAAGCCTGGTCGGCCATATCCAGGCTGTGTGACCATACGGGTCACAGCCACTGTCTCTGTGTGCCGGGGTTTCAACTGTGGGCCGAGCTGGAAGTCAGCCTGGCCCAGGAGATGCTCGGTTTGTGACTGGGACAGCTGTTCGTCGTGATGACGGTGACAGCTGGAAAGAGATTAGGGGCTGCGAGCCACGTGCACCGTATCTGGGTGGCCCTGGACCTGACCCCAACCCTTCCTCCCGCCAGGGAGAGGGGGTGCAGCAGCTGCGAGAGGCCCTGAAGATCCTGGCGGAGAGAGTCCTCATCCTGGAGCACATGATTGGCATCCACGGTGAGCAGCGGCCAGCACCACCCGCCCTCGCCTCCCGCACCCTGTGCCTGCATGGCGACTGCCTCAGGCCTCTGGGCTCCCAGCCACTGGCTGTCAGGGGGACTTGGCCAAACCCATTAAACCCTGACCCTCCCCTGCTCAAGGTCTCCCGTGGGAAGCATTAGTTCATCCACCCCGCTCCCCAAGATGCACCCCCAGCTTCATGGGCCCAACGACAGACCAGACCACAGCGGCCTTTGCGCCTCCCCCGCTGAGCAGCAGCTCCTTCCATCGTGGGTGGGGATCCGCTGGGAACCCCTAGTGCGAGGAGTGCCAGTGCCTCTGTGTCCGTGAAAGCGTGGATGAACGCCTGAACGGGAGCGTGGGTGTCTGAGTGAGTGGTGGGGACGCGCGAGTGGGCGCGTGACGACTAACTGGGTGGGCGAGCGAATGAGGAGCCCGAGCCAGCTGCTGTCTCGCTTTGTGCCCACTGCACCAGGGCTTAACCCTCACACCCAGGTGTGGGAGCACAGGTGCCCCAGTGCCAAGGCTGCTTTGAGTCCCTCTCCTTCCCTCCTTCCAGATCCCCTGGCCTCCCCCGAGGGGGGCTCTGGCCAGGACGCTGCCCTGAGAGCCAACCTCAAGATGAAGCGGGGTGGCCCCCAACCTGACGGTGTCCTGGCTGCCCTGGCTGCCCTGCTGGGTCCCGAGTCTGCGCAGAAGAGCGCTGGCCAGGCCAGCAGCGGGAAGTGAGGGCCAGCTCTCCAGGACAAGCCAGCCCTGGCAGAAGACCCTGCCACTGGGCCTGGAGGAGGCCCAGCCTCAGACTGGACGATTGTGAAGGACACTGGCTCCCGGCCCTGGGGCGTCTTTGGGGGGCAGCTGGAACCTCCAGCACAGGGTTCTACAGGGACTGGCACCTTTGGCAGAGCCTTTCCCTTACCCTCTCCAGCCCCTGATGGAGACAGTCGGGGCGAGCTGGGTGTCAGCTGAGAATAACCATAGTCCTCGTCATTTACTGAGTTCCCGCTGTGTCTGGGCCTGTCTAGGGAGTTTTCCTTATGTTGTTTCATTTAACCTGTAGGAGGTAGGCTTGTTCTCCCCACTTGATGCGGGGACTGGGGTGCAGAGGGCATAGATAACCCACCAAGGCCCCAGGGTCATGGATGCCCACGCAGGATTTGAACTCTGGTCTCTTGGGTCCTGAATCCCTGTCTCCTGAGCACCACCAGTTTCTTCCCCTTCACGAGGAAGCAGAGGGAAGGGTGCAGGCGGGACCGTGGGAGGTGGGGTTGGCCTGGCATGGAGCCCACAGAGCCCTGGGCCTCCCTTGGGCTCCTCAGGCTGCAGAGGGGCTGGCCTGAAGCTGCTCTCTGAGCCCAGGGAGACCTGAATATACCACCGACTGTCACGTGGACTTGGGGACCATGAGGTGGACATGTGAAGGCCTCTGAACCTGCCCGACACTGCCCACCTCTCCCTCCCAGTCTCTCTGAGCCCATCCACACCCCTACCAAGCATCTCCACCCACCGAGGCAGGAGGGCACATTTAACAGGGCTGCCACTGGCAGGGGCAGAGCCCCTCCTCCCAGTCTGTATGGGAAACCTCTAGGGTCTGCCGCTTCCGGGGGACACAGCACACCGGAGAGTGGGGAGCTGCCCGGGTCCCAGGCCTGCCTGGGGACGATGTCCCCACCCCTGAGAGCTGGGGTCCTGGCAGGATCCAGGGCAGAGGCCAGCAACGTCCAGGTGGCCCAGAGCAGCTCAGACCGCAGCCCTCGAAGGCTCTCAGTCTCCAGGTCCCATTTATCTGCCCAGTCCCCATGTTCCTCTCTCACTGGACCAGGAACCAGGACTCAGTGACCCTGGAAACTGAGACTAGAAGGTGCTCTCACTACCTGGTGGCTGTCTCCCCACGTAGTAGGAGTGGCCCAGATGTCCCTCCTGAGGCAGGTCCACTCGTCCTCGTGGAGGGACACTTGAGGCCGTGACACTGTTCATGTATCTGACAATAAAGGTGCTCTCCCTCCCCACTGTGTCTCTTTATGGGAGGCCAGGCTGCATCCTGCTGACCCAATGCCCAGGAGCTCTGAGCAGCTCCTGCAAGGCTGGGGTGACCACAAGGCCTTGGAGGCAGGTGGCCCAAGGTGGAGGCTGGGAGGCCAAGTGGACCCTGCAGAGGCTGTGCCTGCCCCTAACAGAGCTGTCTCTGAGGCCTTGGTGGTGGTGGGGGGACAGCTGGGGGAACCCTAGGCTCTGGGTAGAGAGACCCCTACCCTGCCATAAGTTCCCCTTTCTGGGACCCCAGGGAAGCCTGGGGGACAGGGATGAGCCCAGGGTGGCTGATGAGTCACACTGGGCCTTTGTGTGAATAGAATGCTTGCTGTGTGCCCGGGCCTTCTCCAAACCCAAGCCCAGCCAGTCCTGGAGCTCAAAAGCCAGTAGAAAAGATGGACCTTAGACCAACCACACAGCTGATGGTGTGGAGGAAGGGGACTCTGGGCCACTCCAAAGCCAGGACCAGGGACTGAAGTAGGGGAAAGAGAGAGGGAGAGACAGAGACAGATTGCCTAGGGCTTCTTCCTGCCTTTGTTTGCTTATAATGTCACAGGGACCTGGCGACTGCTGGCCAGGGACTCCTGCCATGGGGACCTAGCCTGGCAGGCCTGGCTCCCTCAGCCATTGGGAGACCCAGGGTGAGGCAGGTGTCTGAAGCCAAACCTTGGCAAGGACAGCCAGGCAGGGAAAGTGATGTGTTCTGCTATAGTCCTCACCATGTACTGCTTTCCCAGGGCAGGAGTTAATGTCAGCGTGCATCCTGCCTTCCTATAATGCATCAGCACTAATGCCTTTGTAGACCCAGGCCCTGGGAACCTCAGTGAATGAGGCAGAATGAATGACTCGATAGATGAATGAATGGTAATCTTAGCTCATATATAGAGCTGCCAAGTGTGGGAAGGCTTAAGGACCCTGGGAGCAGGGACTGGCTCTCCTGGATGTCACCTTCCAGTGCAGAACTCTGAGAGGTGACAATCCTGAAGTCAAAGCTGGCTTCCACATCCTGAAGAGGTATTTGCCATGGAAGGGGGGTATTTCACGTACTAGCCAGTGAGTGCATTGGTAACTTGTAAATACTGCTGCATGGGGTGCAGCAGGTCCACATGGGTCCAGATGGGTCCAGATCCCACTCCAGAACAGGGGTCGAGGGCAGAAGCTCCCACCAGCAAAGAGGACAGGCTAGCTCTGAAGTGTGTCAGACAGGGCCCAGGAGGTAGTCAAGTGCTGTGGGACCTAAAGGAAGTTCCTGTGCCCAAGAGGAGGGCTGAGGGACGGAGTCCCCCTAGGGAGGTAGACATGAGCTCAATGTCCAAATAGAAAGGGAATCAGGCACTGTGCCGCAACACAGGGACATGAGTTGTCACTTCCTTCAACTTCACTGCCACCTGTCTCAGTGTGTGGTGAATCGGTTGAGCCAGGGGGAGGCTGAGTGGCTTTGCCTGAGGTCACACAGCCAGGCGAGGAGCAGAGCAGGTTTGGGAGGGCTGGAAGCGTTTCTCATACCACATGGAAGCTGTTGTCCTGTGTAGGATCGAGGAGGACCCCAAATATTGGAGAGGAGGAAGTTGACCCTGAGTGATGGGCAAAGCCTGGCCTCTCCCTCCACCTGGCTTGTAGAAGATTTGTGAAATGCAAGCCTCCCTTCCTCACCAACCTGCTGTGGCTCCCATGCTCCTGCCTGGCCTCTGTCACTTGGTGCTGTCATCGGATCTTGGCTGGGAGCTTCCTCCTGGCCAGGCCTGACTCTGGGCAGCTGTTGGATGCTGGCTCCCAGGCACAGGAAAGCACCAGGTGCACACAGCAGCTGGAGCAAGAAGGTGGGGAAGGGCCTGGCACATTCGGGCACCCACTGCTCTGAAGGAGCCCAGCCCTTGGCCTCATGCAAACCCATCAGTACTTCACCTCCTCTAACCTGTGTGGCCAAAGGACAGGCTGGGCCCATCCCATCCTTGGTTCTGTCCTGTACCAGGAGAGACCTTGCATGGGTACTGTGGACACCCCAGCCCACCCTTCTGAGCTCAGTGTACAAGGCCCAAGCCCTGGGCTGTGAGGCGAAACCCAGAACCCTTGGTTGTGGTGCTGGAGAGCAGGATCCTGGAGGGTCAGCCCAGGCTGCAGGAGCCCAGCCTGTGTCCCTCCCCTGGACTTCTCACTACCTTGGGCCTGCCTGGGCCACCACGGGGGTTCATGAGGGAGCTCGAGCCCAGGCCATAACCACCCCGCCCAGGGTGTCCACCCAGACTCATCCCTGGCCTGGAGGCTGCTTCCCACCTGCTGGGAGTGGCTCTTGCCTCTTCCTGCTGCTTCTGGCACACACTTCCCTGGAGTCTATACAGAGCCACACTTTCCTCCCCAAACACCAGCTGACACCAGTCTGCTGTACATGTGTGCACGTGAGCAAGAGCGTGTGTGTGTGTGTGTGTGTGTGTGTGTGTGTGTGAGCTCCAGAGTGAGTAGTGGGGACCTGGCTGACATCAGAACCACCTTCCTTTCTGGGCTCCTCCCCCAGGCCCCTGACTTGAGCCCAGTTGTGGTCCATGTTGGCCCCGCAGCAGGGCCCTCCATTCTGTAGAATCCTATTGTCCACACGTCTGTCCAGCTAAGCCCAGGAAGGTGCAGACCCAAACTGGGCCTGACTTGGGGACCACCCTCTCCGACATGTAGTGGGTCTCCTCAGCAGTGCGTAGGGGGCCCAGATCCTTGGTCTGCAGCCAGTGGTCTCTGCCTGTTCCACCATAGACAGCCACCAGCCACAGCAGCAGGGGGACAGTGCAGGGCGGCAGCCATGCCGGCCCCCAAAGGGTCTCACCTGTGTCCCCTCCCCCCTCCTGTCCTTGGCACGTCATAAAGACCCACAAGGTGAGCAGCCCAGCACGGCCCTGGGTCCCAGCCAAGGATGGCCAAGGTGCCATCAGTATCCCCAGCCACAGCTGGATCCAGAGGGGCCCTCGGCTCTGTGTCCCTGCTCGGCTGTGAGCGCCCCATATGCAGGTCACATTCATGTCTCCAGCTCCCAGCCTGGGGCCAGGTGTGGAGCTCTGAGTGATGGGCCCCTGGGCAATGGGGCATTAGAAGAGGGAGCAGCTCCTTCCCACACCCTGAGAGGTGGTGACCTTGCAGGGGACCAACAGCAGGTGGGCCAAGGCTCCTCCCTCCCCATGGGCCAGCTACTCCACACCGGCGATTCCAGCCTCTGTGGTTTCTGCAGCCTCACTCCCAGACCTGCTTTATGGATTATAAAAAGAGAATTTCATGAGGTTTTCAATTAATTGAATTCCAGGGAGATTTATTTACAATGTTATTAATAAAGTCTAATGTCACCTATAACTTTCAATTGCCAGTTAATTAACTTGCAGTTGGTGCATTATAAAAGGCGAATTAAGTCCTTTTTGCAGGCCGGGGCTGGAGAAGTTAATGAACCTGTCATCGTGACCCAAGGAGACAGGTGGGCTCACAGGTCCCCCGCCTGTTGTGGATGAGCCTGTGGCCTGAGAGGGTGGCGCTCTGAGGGCAAGGCGGTCACAGAGCCTTTCTCCAGAGCCCGGGGACCTAGCTTTTATTCCTAGAGAAACACAATAAATGCGGGCCGCACCCTCTGGTGGCTCTGCGGGAGGAATTTCCTTGTCCCACTCTGGCAGCTTTGAACGCACGTAACCCAGCATTGCCGTCGCTCTCTGAAGGGGTTCTGGAAGTCTCTTTCACGTGTGTCTCTATGAGGTACGATAAAAAACATGGTGACTGCTTGCGGAATGCCGTCCAATGGAAGGGCAGGCTCGTAAACGCACGGCAGTGTGTCCTCACCCACCTTAGTCGCTGCATCTGGCACCAAGCGACGTCTGGATCTTCCCCAAAGTCAAAATGACCACGAAGGGGAAATGTTTCGAATCTGTCCAGGACGCGGAGGCAGCCACGACAGCACAACTAAAGACACTCACAGAAGACGACTTCCTGAACGGCTGCAGAAACGCAGCAAGAATGATGGGATGAGAGTTTTGGAAATGGAGGGGGGTGAGAGGTGTGTGTGGCAGTGTGTTTTACTATAGCAGAGTTTAGTGTAGTATAGTTTCACTATAACTTTTTAAAATTTAAACCTTTACATAGTTTTCAATCACACCTCATACGTAGGAGGCCACACCGTGCCACAAGGGCCATGGGGAGCACAGGGGTTGGTCGGGAGGCCGAGAGAGCAAGGACAGGCTGAAGTCAGAGCCTTTACTGGGTTCCGTGGGCATCTGCCCACTGCCCACTGGGTTGTCTGGCATCTGCCGGGGATGACGTAGCAGAGGAACATTGGTTGGGTGCGTGGGAATTAGATGGGCGGGGGCTGGAGCGCAGACTCAGGATGGACTGGTTTGCATAGGAAAGGCCAGCGCCCAGACACATCTGCCTATGTCCCAGGGAGAGGCCAGCAGAGTCTGTAAGATGCCGCCCCCTAAGATACAGACTATGAATCCACAATGAGCACTGTCTCCACGATGCAGCTGCTCTGCCCTTGCCCGGCAGGACTGCCCATCATTTTCCAGCCCTGCGTAAGAAGGTGGTGATTTTTGCGTGGTGCTCTGGGCAAACAGGGCTGGACCGAGTAGCTTTGCCCAGCTTGGGGTCTCGGGCTGCCCCTGCATGACCCCAGCATCCTCCAAAGCCCGGCCCACTCCTGGGAACACTCACAGCCAGCTGGGCAGCTCTGGGCTCAGTAATCAGGGCCTGTACATGAAGGATGCCCTTTGGTTTGCTTTGGGTTCTCTTCCTACATGGGACTCTTTTGGCAGAACCCTATATGAGTAGCCAGCAAGAGGGCCCTTCTTCATTCCCTCCCCTTTCCTTCCCTTCCTTTCCTCCCTCTCTCCCTCCCTTCCCCGCTTCCCTCCTTCCCCCCTTCCCTCCTCCCCGCAGAACTTACCTGCACAGCAGCAGAAAGGACCCTGGAATTTCAGGCTGCAGCCCTGATGTTGCCCTCTGCTGGCCGTGTGATGTGGAGGGGTACACGCCCTCTCTGGTCTCATATCAGTGAACTACAAGGTTTGGGCCATTTTTAGACTTTGGATTTCTGCCCAGTGTGGTTTCCTTTCCAGGAATCTCAGGAGGAGCTGGCAAGGCCACAGCACCTCCAAGATTTCTCCCCTGCATAGGACCAGCTGCACACACCAGGCATTTCCTGACTTGTGTTTGCGAACGTCCCCTGGTACTTCCCAGGACTGGCTTCCAACGGGCACTGGGATGCCACTGCTCCAGCTGGGAAGGGGGCAGCTCATGGTGGTTCCTCTTTGGACAGGGCAAGGCCTCATCAGGGGCCAGCGGACTGAGTAGAGCAAGAGCTGCTGGCCTGGCAGAGATGGAGGAGGCCCCCAGGGTTCACTTGCACCTGCTGCAGGCCGGCGCGTCCATCCAACAAGTCAGACTAGAGAGCGGCTGCGTGGGGAAGGTGCTGCTCTGAGAAGGGACTGGGGAGTGTAGTTATGGATTACTGCAAGTCTGTAGGACCTCAGGGACTCCAACGAGATGGACAGGAAAGCAGCCACTGAGAGCAGCATGGGTCTGCTCGGGGGCCTCAGCGTGAGGAAGAGGTTGCCGATGCTCATGGGCTCTGCTTGCTGCATCTACATCCCTCCTCCATGGCCATCTGTCACTGTGTATCAGCTTCAGTACTTGGCTCGCTCATGACTTTTGCATCTTCCTTTCATAGCTTTCCAGATCTCTTTTGTTTACCCCC